AGCGGTGTTCCACAGGGTCAGTGTTGGGCCCCTGCTGTTCACAATCTACATAAACGACATAGATGAGGGCATAAAGAGCGACATCGGTAAGTTTGCCGATGACACCAAAATAGGCCGTCGAATCATTCTGACGAGGACATTCGTGCACTCCAGGAAGATTTGAATAGACTGATGCAGTGGTCGGAGAAGTGGCAGATGCAGTTTAATATAGACAAATGCAAAGTTCTAAATGTTGGACAGGACAATAACCATGCCACATATAAACTAATAATGTAGATCTTAATATTACGGATTGCGAAAAAGATTTAGGAGTTCTGGTTAGCAGTAATCTGAAACCAAGACAACAGTGCATAAGTGTTCGCAATAAAGCTAATAGAATCCTTGGCTTCATATCAAGAAGCATAAATAATAGGAGTTCCTCAGGTTGTTCTTCAACTCTATACATCCTTGGTTAGGCCTCATTTAGATTATGCTGCACAGTTTTGGTCACCGTATTACAGAATGGATATAAATTCTCTGGAAAATGTACAAAGGAGGATGACAAAGTTGATCCCATGCATCAGAAACCTTCCCTATGAGGATAGACTAAGGGCCTGAAACTGCACTCTCTAGAAAGACGTAGAATTAGGGGGGATATGATTGAGGTGTATAAATGGAAGACAGGAATAAATAAAGGGGATGTAAATAGTGTGCTGAAATATCTAGCCTAGACAGGACTCGCAGCAATGGTTTTAAGTTGGAAAAATTCAGATTCAGGAAGGATATAGGAAAGTACTGGTTTGGTAATAGAGTTGTGGATGAGTGGAACAAACTCCCAAGTACCGTTATAGAGGCTAGAACGTTGTGTAGCTTTAAAAATAGGTTGGATAAATACATGAGTGGATGTGGGTGGGTGTGAGTTAGACCTGATAGCTTGTGCTACCAGGTCGGTTGCCGTGTTCCTCCCTTAAGTCAATGTGACCTGACCTGACTAGGTTGGGTGCATTGGCTTAAGCCGGTAGGAGACTTGGACCTGCCTCGCATGGGCCAGTAGGCCTTCTGCAGTGTTCCTTCGTTCTTATGTTCTTATGTTCTTATATAAGAGCGTTTGTAAAACTATACTCTCATACATTCCCCTCTTTGCCTCCAAGGACAAAGTTCTTTGTCTCCACAGACTCCTAAGTGCACCACTCACCCTTTTCCCCTCATCAATTCAATGATTCACCTCATCTTTCATAGATCCATCTGCTGACACGTCCACTCCCAAATATCTGAATACATTCACCTCCTCCATACTCTCTCCCTCCAATCTGATATCCAATCTTTCATCACCTAATCTTTTTGTTATCCTCATAACCTTACTCTTTCCTGTATTTACTTTTAATTTTCTTCTTTTGCACACCCTACCAAATTCATCCACCAATCTCTGCAACTTCTCTTCAGAATCTCCCAAGAGCACAGTGTCATCAGCAAAGAGCAACTGTGAGAACTCCCACTTTGTGTGATTCTTTATCTTCTAACTCCACAGCTCTTGCCAAGACCCTCGCATTTACTTCACTTACAACCCCATCTATAAATATATTAAACAACCACGGTGACATCACACATCCTTGTCTAAGGCCTACTTTTACTGGGAAATAATCTCCCTCTTTCCTACATACTCTAACTTGAGCCTCACTATCCTCATAAAAACTCTTCACTGCTTTCAGTAACCTACCTCCTACACCATACACCTGCAACATCTGCCACATTAATATTTGTTGTAAAAGCCACAAAACTTACCTTTATTTTTGATCCTAGTATTTTTTTTTTCTCTCTGATCCATCCACAAACTGGTTGTATGCTTCTAAGCTTTTATAACTTTATAAATCTTGGGATGTGTAGAGACTAGGTGAAAATACCAAGTAGTTAACAATATCTTAATACGTGCCTCATACTTTTGGTAAAACAGCTTCAGCTATTTCATGTCGATCTTCAACACTAATCAATTGTAACATGACTTCATATTTTTTTCTTTCAATTAGTTGAAGACTAGCTTCATTAAGTCTGTACATGCAGAGTTAATTAAATATTACTGGGTGTTGCTTTGATTGTTTCTTTATTAAAGCAAACTTTAAAAAGGTAAATTTATCACAATAGAAATGTCTAAATAATTCATTAATTTTATAAACACACATTGCAATTTTTTTTTTTTTTTTTTTTTTTTTACAAATCATGTGTAACTAATAAGGTGAATCATCCAGGTGACAAGTGAGATATCAGTGAAAACACACTATTACTTTCTTGGCATGGGCAGGTGGGCACTGGGCAGTATATGAGCACTAAGTGAGCAATTAAATGCCAGACTTCTGGGAGCCGGGCTCTTAGGGTATAAGCCTTTGTAGCCCTTTAAAAAAGCTGTCGCCATTACCACTGGTCATGGTGATGGTGTAGTCATCTTTGATCTACTTTCAAAGGGTTTCAAGAGTTTTCTTACTCTTGCAGCCTGGCTCTCTAAGCAAACCACATATCATGAGGCGGCAGCAGCAGCAGCAGCAGCAAGAAACATTCAGTAGACTTTTTTTTTTTTTTTTTTGTTTCTCTTAATTTGCATGTTGTACGGGTACCCTATTATTGTTAATTATTGGCCGATGTTCATTTTATTCCCAGGTCAGAATCCGTCAACATTTTCCCAACTATAACACTAGCGACATGCTTATCTATTGTTCAAATTTTTAATTATCAACACATTTGCCATAATATTACAATAAAAATAATAGTTGTGATGAGAAAAGCAGTAGCCAGGTGTGGACTGACTGTCTTTGGTGCAGCCTCCCTACCACACCACCACCATCACAACTCTGCACAATCTTTCACCATCTTAATTCAGTATAACATGTTTTTGCCCTCAACAGTATGTTGGGTTAGGTTAGGTTGCATTGGCTTTGGTCGGGTCACATTAATGTTTTGTTTTATACATTTCCTCAAATAAAAACTATCTTATTTGCACAACCACATTGATTTTGGACAATTTCGCTAAAAAAAAAAAATGTCAAAGTGGGACCCAGGAATAAAGTAAATATAATGTAGTTCTATTTCATAATACTGTATTTAAAATTGGGAAGATCATTCGTTATCTTATATTGTGTACACTGTACTATGCATGAATGATGAGGCTGAAATGTGTGTATCAGAATGTTTTGTGGTGGTTTGTAGTGAGGGTGAATGCTAGTGTCTGTAAATTACAGTGAGTGCATTATGATGTAGAAATGTATTGTAACTGCCCATTCTCCCACCACCACTTTTTTTTTGTGCACATAACGCAAGATTGATTTAATTGTTTTACTGATATAGCATTATTTAATTTTTTGTTTTAATACTAGGCTATCTCCCACCTAGGCAGAGTGATCCCCCAGAAAAGAAGAAATGCCTTTATAAAGGTTTTCTTCTTTTTACATTTAGTAATTTGTACATGAGAAGAGGTTACTCACCCCTTGCTCCTGGCATTTTAATCACCTGATGAAGAATTACACATGTGCAATAGCATATATAGCACATGTGCTGTACTATATTTGTAAACGTTTCACCATGCAATTGCTTTATCAGATAAGTACAAAGACATAATATGAAGACTGTAGAAGTCATTATTGTATATACACAAAAATAATTATCAGTGTTTGCTTATTTAATTTTGCCTCTGTAAAACACACTAAATTATAAATTGCTTTTGACAGTTATTTTCAAAATTTGCGACATTCAAACTTTAAAGCGGTCAGATTTGAGGGGGCAGTGTGATCGTACACTCAGTGAGTTGTTTGTGGGAATCCAGAAATAACTTCTGACCCTTCTCTTGATTTGTCTTAACTGAAATTACCTGAGAGATACTGTAGTATTTGTGCACCTCTGGCAAGAGTGATAGTGAAGGAGGGTGAATGTGCTTCTTTGTTTACGGGATGCTCTGCCTTGGTGAGAGATGACCGATGTATTAAAAAATATACATATGTATGTATGCTGGTTGATTTATTGATTTAACTGATTGATTTATTAATTGATTGATAAATTGATTTTTGTTTATCAAGTATGAAGACTGGATGGAAGCTTGTTTTGTATTTTGTGAGTATTATTTATAAAGAAAAAGGAGGATGATTATGAATTTAGTGTACAAAAGCTGATAACTATACCAGGAGCAAGCACGGTCCTCTGTGTGCATTTCTACTCACGTTTGGTACCTTAGACAACAGTAAACCACACCTATTCAGGATTCGAATAATGAGTAAGTTGATGTCTAGAAGGAATTTCTTCATGGCACAAATCACATTGACTTTTGCAGATATCAATTAAACTACAAACATACAGACTATTATGAATCTCTCAAATGTTTGTGTTCATTGACAAGTTCTAAATGCCAGCTTGATGTTAGACAGCAGTGGTTGATAAAATGCTGATACCGTAGTGGTAGATACGTACTTGGATGTGTAATGCTGCGTGAATGCATCAATGCCTCTGGAGCTGATTACTTTTTAATACTGTACCATGTTTTGTTGCAAAACTAATGTAACTAGTTTTCCCTCAAATTAATTTGTGGTACTAAATTTTTTATAACAAATATTTTCTTTTGTTGATGCAGATGTATTGTCAGTTAATTGTTTTAATTCATAATTTAATCAGGTTTATTGTTTTAATTTAAATAAGTTTATTTTAAAGCTAACTTTATTTTAAAGGAAGTTTTAATTAGGTTATTTTAATTTAAATATTATAATTAATATTAAATTTGAAGGTAAATTTAATTTTCAGAATTATATTTAATTTGGAGACAAGTAATATTAATTTTGGAGTATTTTCCATGGTAATGGGTACCATTATGTATCTTCCATGCCAGAGAGAATATCATGAAATATATACAGTACAAAATAGAGTACAGTACATATATGAAATTTGCCAAATATTAGTGATATATAAAGTATATTAGTTGAAGTTGTGAATTAGTGTTTAATGAGAAGCAGTGTGTGCAGCCAGCTTTACCTCGCTCCTATACCATGCAGCAATAAAGAAGTGTGACGATGGTGAGAGACAGATGTGGCAGTGTGCGATGGGGTTGTGCATTCCCCTCTCTTGGTACTGTGATGCTGTGGTCGACTGTAAGGATGGGTCAGATGAGGTCAACTGTCCTAGTAAGTCACCCTATACCTCCCAGCAACTCTCTGTAGGGTACTAGGAGTGTGTGCTTAATGGGTGTGCGTTCCATTTAACCCGTCCCGTTGAGAGTTACGTGTATTAGTTCAGTACCTCATTAATTGTGACCCTCATCAGCCAGCATCTTAATTATCTATGACTGTTTGCGTGGGACTGTACATAGCAGTTTGGGAGTTAAAATGAATGTGAGGGTCTAATGTTATAGATAATAAAGGTACTGCTGGCTGGATCCTAGTTACAAGAGGAAGTGATGGAATTTCTAAGCTAATTTACAGACGGCCATGGACCTTAGAAAATAAATCCATCCTCCTGTGACAAGGCTTCCACTTGCTTTTTCAGTGCTAACTCTATACTAACAGTTGCATGAACATTGTTCTACTTACAGATGAAATAGAATGCAAAGCTGACGAATTCACTTGTCACAATAGTGGCAACAAATCGAATTGCATCCAGCTAAACTGGGTTTGTGATGGAGAGTCCGACTGTGATGATCAATCCGACGAAGTTTCATGTAGTAAGAGGCTACATTCTATTGTTTTCATTAGGTTACTATACATACTGATTTTGATATGTAAAGAAGTTTTTCTTTTTAAGGGAAGATGAAGTCTTAACACTGTATAGATTATATAAAGTAGTACTTGGAAAGGTTTGCAAAAACAAAAGTAGAGTTCTTAAATAGTCACTAAAAGCAATAACAGAGCATTAAAAAGCAAAACAAAATGTTTACTGGTGTGCTACAGCATAATTTAAATTCGTTTGCACTGCCCTGGTAAATGCTCAAGTGATGATAATAAATTTTCTTTCAATAAAATACTAAATAATTGTTAATTTGTAGGGTCACACTTAAAGGAGTTGCTGTTGTAGCTTTATTACTATTATCAGCTGAATGTTCCATCAAGTGTTCCATCACAACAATAAAATTCATATACTGTATATTCACTTAGAGGCTTCAGTAGATAGATATGTAAATGAATGGACACTAACCATTTTTTGGTTACATCAGAAATTTGTTAGTTTACAAATGCTCTGAAGTTTGTGTGTAGTAAGTCACTGTGTATTGTATGCATGATAATGTTAGTGTGTCTTGGGATAAATTTCTTAATTAACATTTCAATACAAATTATGGTAGTTTTGTGTGTGTGTGTGTTGTGTGGGTTGGGTGGGTGGGTGGGGGTATGATGTATACACAGCTAATTACATTGTCAAACCATGGTATGGGTGGGGTTTGAACTCATGGCAAGTGAATCATAAAGCTCCAGGCCAGTGTGTAAGCCACTCTTCCAGCTGGCTGAGTGGCTTATTCCCTTGCCATGGGTTCAAGCCCCACCCGTATTGTGGTTTGTTTGCAATAGTGTTATGATTTTGTGAGTCGTGATTACACTGTCATGTGGAAATTGAAGAAATTTGCTCTACCTTGGAAAAGAAAATTCTATTGGGATTTAAAATTGCATTCATATGGGATTGAAAAATAAATTTGATTTCTAATGTTTACATAATTTCATGAAGACAGATGTGTTACTCAGTATTTAGAACAGAAATTACTACTGTAAGGATTACTCAGGTGATCTGACTCCTTCACTGTGCTGTAAAATGTGTTATTGTACTACTGTACAACTAAAACTTAGTGGAACAAATTTGGAAATTGGAGTAGTGTATGTCCATGTTCTTTTATCAGTTGTATAAAAAATTATCGTAAGAAAGATGTTATGCTGAATTTTGTACGTCTTTTTTGTATTTTTTTTAAAAAGTCGTTGGCTAGTAAAGCACTAAAGTTGCTTTTTAGTGTCAAGGGAATGTCACAGGCATCTTTGTATTGTGTATGATAGCAACAAATGTACTGTAGATTCCTTCTACACTGTTGTACAGATTTTTGTATGCAAAGAGTGGCTACCTGGGATAGAGAACGAAAGTAATCTTGGGAGAGAGAATACTGAATGTTTACACACATAACCTGCACATAGGAGAAAGAAACTTATGACAACATTTTAGTTCAGTTGGACCATTAATTAATGGTCCAAGTTGGACCGAAACATCGTCATAAATTTTTTCTCTTATGTGAGGGTTATTTGTGTATTGTTCCAGTCATGGTATTTAGACGTTTTATTCTCCTAAATGTTTCTGTAGATGGCAGGAAGACGCATGGAAATATTGGTTTATATATAATTTGAACATGGTTAAATTTTCTTTAATATGTAATTTTTAATAGTGACATAATGATTTAAATAAATTTTAAATAGAGCATTTTTATGTAAGTTAAGACACATATGCAACATCTGGTTATCTCTGTTGTAGACATTTCGCCATCCAGTGGCTTTATCAGTACAGATTCTAGGACATAATTAGAAGACAGTAGAACTATATACAAAAGATGAGGTAATCAGTCCCTCAGCCTTGGAGTAGACATGTCTACAACCACGGTGCTCTCCACACCAGCTCCAAGGCTGATGGACTGATTACCTCATCTTTTGTATATAGTTCTACTGTCTTCTGATTATGTCCTAGAATCTGTATTGGTAAAGCCACTGTATGGTGAAACGTTTACAATAAAGATATCTAGATGTTGCACATGCCTTAACTTTCATCTTGTTAGTATTGTATACCTTTCTTGCACATCTTTATGTAGGTTTCATTATTAGTTTATGTAAATGAATAATTATAAATGCAGTATGATTAAATAATAAAATCATAATACATAAATGATGCCACAATCTTTTATGGAGAAAACTGTATTATGTGTTAGAATAACTTGTAACTTCAGTTTAGTAATTGAAGACTTGAAAGTGCTCCAACAAGGCTTATTCCTGCATTCATGAGGCTTCAGTGCAATTCTTGTGTATATATAATTCAGTGTGATATTGAAAGTGTGTGTGTGTGTGCGCGTGTGTGCTCGCGTGTGTGTGCGTGTGCGTGTGTGTGTGCGTGTGCGTGTGCGTGTGCGTGTGTGTACGTGTACGTGTACGTACTCGCTTATGTGGTTGCAGGGGTAGTCTCAGCTCCTGGTCCCAACCTCTCAGCTTGATACTAAATTTCAAGTTCTCATTGACCCTGTTGTACTGACTCTTAAAACTATGAATAGAGTTTGTCTTCACCACTTCAAGATCATTCCACTTTGACAACTTTGAGACTGAAGAAATACTTCCTGACCTCCCTGTGGTCCAGGTCTCTCTTTAACTTCCAGCTTTGCCTCCAAGTATCTGTTTCTCAGTTTTCAAACAGTTTGTCCCTGTGTACCCTATCATTTTCCTGAATATTTTGTATGTTAGCATGTCTCCCTTAGTTCTACTGTCCAATGTTGTTAGATTGTTTCATTAGACTCTCCTTGTAGTTCATACCCCTTAGCTCCAGAACAAGCCTCTTTGCATATTTCTGCATTTTCTCCAGTTTAACATATTTTTCAGGTGCAGCACCATATGGGCACAATGTATGTTGTATAAATGGCCCAGAGTAACTGCTAAGATTCCTGAAGGCTACTCTTAGATTTACCAGATGAGCATTGGCTGCAGAGGTTATTTTGCTGATGTGAGCCTCTGGCAATATAATGGGAACTATGCTCAACCCTTAGGGCTTTCTCTTTGAGTGAGGTCTGCATCTGACCCCAGAGGCTATACTTCATTTCCAGACTTGCTGCTTCCCCAATCTTCAAAACCTTGCATTTACCTGGGGGGGGGGGGGTTGATTTTAAGCAGCTACTTACCAGACCAATCTTGCAGCTTTTTCAGATGTATTTGAAGCCTTTCCTTGTTCTCATCTGCTTTTACTCTCATCAGTTTTACATCATCATCAAACAGTGTTACATCAGAATCAGTCTCATCTGGAAAATCATTTGCATAAACAAGAAATGGAACTGATCCTAATATTGATCCTTGTAGAGCCCCACCTTCTAGTTACTCTTCTGCATTCTCTACTTCCTTTCCTAGGGTATGCATTGATCCACCAGAGTATGTTCCTTGTTATTGCCTGTATCTCAAGTGTTTGGCCCATCCTCTTGTGGTATACAGTCAAATGCCTTCTTGCATTTTTAAGAAAATGCAATCCACCTTTTCCTTTTTTCTGTCATGCATGTAAAATACTTTATCACAGAACTCCAACAAGTTGGTAAGACAAGATGTGCTATCTCTGAACCCATGCTGGTAATGATTTAGGAAACCACATCTGTCCATGTGTTCTGTCACTCTCCTGGTAAAGATAGTCTTAAGTAAGAGATCACTGAATTAGAGCAAAAACTTGATGTCATACCTAACAGAAGAAGTACAAAGGGCCATACAGGATATTGCAAGAAGCCCAAAATATTTCTATTCTTGTGCAAAATCTTAACTAAGAACTACCTGTAGAATTAGACCATTATTGAGTCTGTATTCAGCAACCCACTAAATGACAGCCAGGTGGAAAATGCAGAAGCGTTTTTCATTCAAGCAGAAGGCTGCACAGACCAACTGACTGACAGTACAAATCCCATAGATTTCGAAAAAGAAATGGATAATACGCCCAATCAACACCTGGACCAGATTTATGGAATGCCCTATTTATAAAGAAGTGCAAAGTACCACTAGCATGAGCCCTCGGTATTCTTTGGAGAAAGAACTTAGATCTAGGTGAAATACCGGAGGCCTTAATGAGTGCAGACACAGCTCCTTTGCATAAGGGAGGTAGTAGAGCACTAGCTAGAAATTACAGACCAGTAACCCTAACTGCTCTCATCATAAAAATTTTCAAAAGAGTGATGAGATAGTAGATTACAAATTTCACAGACCAGTACAACCAGCATAACCTGAACCAGCATGGTTTTAGAGCAGAATAATCATGCCTGTCACAGCTGCTGAACCATTATGACAGAATTACAGAGGTGTTGGAAGACAACCAAAATGCATGTGAGATTTACAGGTTTTGCAAAGGGGTTTGACAAATGCGATCCTGGAGTAATAACTCGCAAAATGAGGGCCATAGGCATTGTGGGAATGGTAGGCAGATGGATTTTCGGTTTCCTAATACACACAACACACAGTAGTAAACAGAGCAAGATCCAGCATCAGCGAGGTAAAAACTCAGTGCCCCAAGGCACTGTCCTGGCACATCTGCTGTTTCTCATCCTCATAGCGGACATAGATAAAAACACTCATTACACTTTTGTACCATCATTTGCAGATGACACTAAAATAAGCATAAAGTTACTACGGTAGAGGACACTCAAAAATTACAGGATAACATAAGCAGGGTTTTCTACTGGGCAGTGGAGAACAGCATGACGTTCAGTGATGATAAGTTCCAGCTGCTTAAGTATGGAAAGAATGAAGAACTCAAAAGGAGCACTATATACAAAACTCAAGAGGGTCACTAAGTAGAACATAAGGAACACATAAAAGACCTAGGAATAATTATGTCAGCTGACCTTTCTTTTAAAGACCATAACAAGACAAAGATCATGACAGCCAGGAAGATGACTGGGATGGGTATTGAGAACTTTCGAAATGAGGGAAATAATGCCAATTGTGACACCCTTCAAGTCGCTAGTGCTCCTTCATTTAGAATATTGCTCAGTGCTGACGGCCCCATTCAAAGCAGGAGCAAATATCAGAGCTGGAGCAAATACAGAAATCGTTTACAGCTCACATTGAGCCAGTAAAGCATTTAAATTACTGGGAATGCCTTCAGATCTTGAACATGTACTCATTGGAGCGGAGGAGAGAGATACATGATTATATATACAGTACCTGGAAAATACTCGAGGACCTGGTCCCAAATCTGCACACTTCCATAATATACTGGAGTGAGAGATATGGAAGGAGGTGCAAAATAAACCCAGTGAGGAGTAGGGGTGTGGTGGGGACAATAGGGGAACACTGTATCAACATCTGGGATCCCAGACTTTTCAACATCTTTCCAGAAGATATCAGAAACATGGCTGGAACAAGTGTAGAAGCCTTCAAGAGGAAACTGAACAAGTACCTTCACCAGGTACCAGATCAACCAGGCTGTGATGAATATGTGGGGCAAAGGGCCTCCAGCAGCAACAGCCTGGTTAACTAGGCAAGCACTAGATGAACCTGGCCCATGGCTGGGCTTCGAGAATAGTGAAACTCTCGATTGTTTGATCAATATTTCATAAACTTCCTTATTGTTGTTGTTAGCTGCTCTCTCCTCCATGAATTATAAGTCCCTGACTTGTGTTCCTTTCTTTCTGATTGCTCAAAGCAATTTTGGTTCAAACATTGCCTTTACTGCTATGTTTTCAAATTGTTCCTGAATCTCTCCCCTCGCTTGAGCATATTCATTTCTGGTCAATCTGTTCACTTCTTTGTTCTCGTATCTCCTTTACTTCCTGAAGTTTTTTCACGGTATACATAATTCATGGGCAGTTTCCATTAGATTTTTCACCACCACTAATTCTGACACTAATTTTCTTAGGTGAAGTCTTAGATTCATGCTTATTCTTCTTTGCACCTCTAGCATCACAAGAGTATTCCTCTTTAGTGCCATGGTTAATGCAGGAGACCAGATATAATGATGAAAATATAAAAAATAGTTCTATAATCATGGAATGGGTAAGGTACAAGATGCTTCCAGAACGCAATTATAGGTGACGTGGGAAAGGAAATGAGGCTTGTACCACAGCTTGTAGTACCCAATTTTGTGTGTAATGTAATGCTATGGTGTGCAATACCATTATTTTGTGTTATCTGATTCTTTAGCACTAAGAGTGTAATTTCAAGCTTTTTGAGTGCTTTCTATTTTTTTCTGCACTTAAATTATGTTGCAAGCAAATTGCTCAACATGAACTTGCTCTGTAAGAGACTTTACTGTACTAGCAACTTTAAAAATATCCTTCGGATATGTGATATATGATTAAATGCTCAACTAATTTTTCATGACATACATCAGACCACAACTAGAATATGTAGCTGTATTGGGTGTCTGCACCAAAATAAAGATGATGAAAAAAATCAGTTCAGACATTTTACAAAATAGCTGTAAGAGTTGAGAAATATGAATTATTAAAAACTTGAAGAATATGACACTTGTTCACATGTGCCACATTCTTCAACTTGTCAGTTTTCTAAACCATTTAAATTACATGTAAAACTTAAAATGGTAAGGTAAAAACAAAATCCTATTACCAGTGTTTAGGTGCTATTGTAGTTCAGGCATCAATTTGTGGGGTTGCAACCTGGCAGACAGTGGTTCAAGTGAAATATCCAGTACAGAAGGAAGTACTGTAGTGGAAATAGAATAATGAGAGAATCATAAAAAAGGTGTACTGAAATGAAAATAGGTAGTATGGGGTACAATAACAGGCAGCTGTATTGTATTCATTTATTTACTTTTCAGTACTGGTAATTACAGTAATTATTTGTTTACTTATTCAGTGGACAGTAGTTATTTATTTACTTATTTATTATGTATTCAGATTTGACTTGCGATGGGTTTGTCAGAATGTAACCCCATTGTAAGTCGAGGAGCACCTGTACTGAGTATTAGAGATTTCAGACAAACACTAGGAAAACTGGAATAAGTTTGAAAAGCCACAAATGATCAAATATTTGTTTATTGATGGGTTTTGGAGTTCTGAGGATTAATTTGACATGGTTGAAGTTTTATCTTACTGCCTGACAAATTAACATTCATTACATTTTTTAGCAGGTTGAAATTTTGCATAAGAAAATCTGAGATATTAACTTAATATGAGGTTTGAAAATATATTAAACAAATTTGGAAGTAGAGAAATAGTGTAATCATAGTAAATTCATCACAGCATCCTTGGTGGGGCACAGACTGAGAGCTAAGTTCAATAGACCTTCATTTCTCAAAATAAATTATGATGACCTACTAAATTGATTAGTATCAATTTTATTTTATATGAAGTTGAATTTTATTTTTTGTGACATTTACTAATGCTTGTTAACTGATTGCAGATGCAACATGTACTTCAGAACAGTTCACTTGTGCATCTGGTATATGCATCTCAAAACGCTGGCATTGTGATGGAGACATTGATTGTGGTGACGATGACAATTCAGACGAAGCAAATTGTCCAAAGAAAACTTGCTCATTCTCTCAGGTTGGTTGTTAAATATTTAGTTGGCTTATTTCATGTATGAATAATCTGAAGAATGTTGTTTATATGCTTCACTCAAGACACTTGTACTCTTGTTATATGGTATTTCATTGTTAGGGAGAACTTTATGTAATTACAAAGCATTGTGAGCAGTAAGTGAAAACTCAGCATTTGAACTTTGGTAAAAAGGCTTTACAGCCTTTTTCATGCACTTAAAAAAAAATTGAGATTAATGCTTTTTGGGGGATTTGTAATTTGTACATCCAACAGGCATGTGTGTGTTAGTGTGTGTTAGTGTGTGTGTGTCTTTTGTGTGTTAGTTACCATTTTGTCCTAGGCACATGTCGATTAGACACTAGGCCTATTGTATGTGTGTGTGTGTGTGTGTGTGTGTGTGTGTGTGTGTGTGTGTGTGTGTGTGTGTGTGTGTGTGTGTGTTAGTTACCATTTTGTCCTAGGCACATGTTGATTAGACACCAGGCCTGTTGTGTATATGTGTGTGTGTGGGTGGGTGTGTGTGTGTGTGTGTGGTGTGCATGCGTGTGTGGTGTGCATGCGTGTGTGGTGTGCGTGCGGGGTGAGTGTGTGTGGGGTGGGTGTGTGTGTGTGTGGGGTGTGTGTGTGTGTGGGGTGTGTGTGTTAGGTGTGTGTTGTGTGGTGTGTGTGTGTGGTACTCACCTAGTTCTCACCTAGTTGAGGTTGCAGGGGTTGAGTCCAAGCTCCTGACCCCGCCTCTTCAGTGGTCGCTACTAGGTCACTCTCCCTGAACCGTGAGCTTTATCATACCTCTGCTTAAAGCTATGCATGGATCCTGCCTCCACTACATCGCTTCCCAAACTATTCCACTTCCTGACTACTCTGTGGCTGAAGAAATACTTCCTAACATCCCTGTGATTCATCTGTGTCTTCAACTTCCAACTGTGTCCCCTTGTTGCTGTGTCCCATCTCTGGAACATCCTGTCTTTGTTCACCTTGTCAATTCCTCTCAGTATTTTGTATGTCGTTATCATGTGTCCCCTATCTCTCCAGTCCTCCAGTGTCGTCAGGTTGATTTCCCTTAACCTCTCCTCATAGGACACACCCCTTAGCTCTGGAACTAGTCTTGTTGCAAACCTTTGCACTTTCTCTAGTTTCTTTACATGCTTGGCTGGGTGTGGGTTCCAAACTGGTGCCACATGCTCCAATATGGGCCTAACGTACACGGTGTACAGGGTCCTGAACGATTCCTTATTAAGATGTCGGAATGCTGTTCTGAGGTTTGCTAGGCGCCCCTATGCTGCAGCAGTTATTTGGTTGATGTGCGCTTCAGGAGATGTGCCTGGTGTTATACTCACCCCAAGCTCTTTTTTCTTGAGTGAGGTTTGTAGTCTCTGGCCCCCTAGACTGTACTCCATCTGTGGTCTTCTTTGCCCTTCCCCAATCTTCATGACTTTGCACTTGGTGGGGTTGAACTCCAGGAGCCAATTGCTGGACCAGGTCTGCAGCCTGTCCAGATCCCTTTGTAGTTCTGCCTGGTCTTCGATCAAATGAATTCTTCTCATCAACTTCACGTCATCTGCAAACAGGGACACTTTGGAGTCTATTCCTTCTGTCATGTCGTTCACAAATACCAGAAGCAGCACTGGTCCTAGGACTGACCCCTGTGGGACCCCGCTGGTCACAGGTGCCCACTCTGACACCTCGCCACGTACCATGACTCGCTGCTGTCTTCCTGACAAGTATTCCCTGATCCATTGTAGTGCCTTCCCTGTTATCCCTGCTTGGTCCTCCAGTTTTTGCACTAATCTCTTGTGTGGAACTGTGTCAAATGCCTTCTTACAGTCCAAGAAAATGCAATCCACCCACCCCTCTCTCTCTCTTGTCTTACTGCTGTCACCATGTCACAGAACTCCAGTAGGTTTGTGACACAAGATTTCCTGTCCCTGAAACCATGTTGAGTGCTGTTGATGAGATCATTCCTTTCTAGGTGTTCCACTACTCTTCTCCTGATAATCTTCTCCATGACTTTGCATACTATACATGTCAGTGACACTGGTCTGTAGTTTAGTGCTTCATGTCTGTCTCCTTTTTTAAAGATTGGGACTACATTTGCTGTTTTCCATGCCTCAGGCAATCTCCCTGTTTCGATAGATGTATTGAATATTGTTGTTAGGGGTACACATAGCGCCTCTGCTCCCTCTCTCAAGACCCATGGAGAGATGTTATCCGGCCCCATTGCCTTTGAGGTGTCTAGCTCACTCAGAAGCCTCTTAACTTCTTCCTTGGTTGTGTGTACTGTGTCCAGCACTTGGTGGTGTGCCCCACCTCTCCGTCTTTCTGGAGTCCCTTCTGTCTCCTCTGTGAACACTTCTTTAAATCTCTTGTTGAGTGTGTGGTGTGTTGTGTGTGTGTGTGTGTGTGTGTGTGTGTGTGTGTGTGTGTGTGTGTGTGTGTGTGTGTTTGTGTTTGTGTGTGTTTGAGTGTGTGTGTGTGTTAGTGTTAGAAAGGAGTAGGTGGAGACAGGTGGTTTTTAAGACTCGATGTGGTGTTGGAATGTAAGCAAGGTAACATTTATGAATGGATTCAGGGAAACCAGTTAGCCAGACTCGAGTCCTGGAGGTGGGAAGTACAGCGCCTGCACTCTGAAAGAGTAGTGGGGATATTTGCAGTTAGGAGCAGCATCTGAACTGTAGTATTGGTGCAGCTCTGGCAAGAATGATGGGGAGAGCTTTTTCTTTTTTAGGGTCACCCCACCATACCTTGGTGGGAGACAGTGTGTTAGAAGAAAAAAATATAAGGATAGCCTTTTACCAAAGTTGTGATGTTGAATTTGTGCTTACTATTAGATTCACAACTCTTTATATGGTCTGTACAAATTTCCTAAATGCTTGTTGCTATTTAATATTTCAGTGCACACTTGAGCCTCAATTGATGTCAGATATATGCTCAGTTACCACAAGACTTAATCTAGATTTTAAATGGCAATACTCCAGTATTGGCAACTAATATGACACCTGTACTTTTGAGTGTACACAAAAGTTTTGAGATTTTTATTTAGGAACCTATGCTGAATTTTAAATTACATGACTCAGATCAATAAAAAACATAGATGCTGTGTCACATGGCTTGTTACTCAGTTCTTTCTACCTAGAATGATTATAATCTCTTTTACATAACCCTCTGCGAAACCTGTAACCCTGCAGGTGGCTTGTGCAGACGAGTCATGCATAGATCGCAGCCTGATTTGTGATGGCAAGGAAGATTGCAACGATGGATCGGATGAACATGTAAGAAAGCATTTCTAGAATTGGACTGCAGTGACTAATTCTGTTTAGTGTGATATGTCAACATTTGTCTTTTCCCTTGTTTTGTTACATAGATGCGGTGCGGAGATGGGGAATGCATAGAGAAATCTTGGAGATGTGATGGGGAAGACGATTGTGTCAACGGGACAGATGAACATGTAAGAAATGCTCAGGTTTCATAAGTAAAGGAAGGTGGAAGGTCCTAGCTTCTTGATTCACTAATTGATCTACTCCAGACATTCTACTTGCAGTACTGTACTTCAGTGTCAAGGCCTTATCAACCAAGACCTGGTTAAATGATTTTTTCATCTCTGACTAGCTTAGCTTGAGTAGCTTAATTTTTTCTAATTTAGTGCTTAAATGATGTAATGTAATATATAATACAAAAAAAAATATATATGTACAGATATTTTTTTATTTATTTTGGTTAAGAAAAATATGAAGTTTGATTACAGTATTCAGATTGCAAACTTGCCAAACTTTTTATTTACTTACGAATTGCTGTTAAGATTGTTAAACCAGGTTGAGGACAGCCATTGTATTGGCATACTTCTGTACTGTCCCAGTTTTAAATTTTTCCAGTGGGATGCCATAATCTGAATTTCTTTCCTTGCTCTGTGGTATAGATAGCACAGTTTGACATTAAATTTGGTACATTAGTTATATTGTATTGGGTAGTGCATATAGATTGTTCAATCCTGTAGTTGCTGTTATCCTTTACACATTAGTGCTGTGCAAGACACTGTTGGCGTGAAAATTTACATGTTAGTTTTGTTATTTGTGCAAAACAACTCCAAACCACACTGCGTATAACATCAACGAAGTAATTTAAGTACAGACTTCCTCCTAGTGTTTGAAAAGTAATTAGAGGTTTAGAAAAATTATCATTAGTCATTATCCTAATTATCATCAGTGTCATAGTCATTTATCATCCTCATCATTCATTAGCTAAATCCATAGGGGTTATACAGTACCTGGGTAATGGGAAGCAGTCATAATTGATTCAGAGAAGTGGAGGTTTTAAAACAGTCTTCAGAGAAGAACAAAGGCACAATACCATGACTGGAACAATACACAAATAACCCATACATAGGAGAGAGAAGCTTATGATATTTTGGTCTGACTTTGACCATTTGTAAAGTCAGTGACTTTGTAAATGGCCTAAGTTGGACTGAAATGTCATTGTAAGCTCCTCTCTCCTATGTGCAGGTTATTTGTGTATAGTCTTTAGAGTTAACTTATTACATATAGGGGTAAATTGGATGAGAAAATGTACCTGGGATGGCAATGTAAGGAGGATGGAGGATATAACTTTGAAAAGGAAATAGTAAACAAGAACTTAAATATTTCATTAAAGGTAAAATAGACTAAATATGTATAACCGTACTCTCAGACCTCAAACAAAAATTGAGAAAAGCATTCCCTGGTAGGCTCTAGACAGAACTCGTGTAATTCATTTGAAATGAGTCGCATGGAGCTGCTCCATGCCATGGAACAATTCCTTGCCTGTAAGAAGAAAAGCCCTACTCACACATTACACGAACTGTAAGACGATCTTGGTGTCCCTACATTTTGACCATAAATGACACTGCCTCTAGGTTGCCCAACCTGTTGGCATTATCTATTGCCACTAGTGGACCCTAACTGTGATGCTGTTTGCAACTGCTGCTTCTCACCTCAGCATTTGAGTCTTCTGTATGGGCAATATGTTATGGCAATAAAGATTCACAAAAGTTGCACACCCATTTTATTCATTTACTCATTGGTTTCATATACTGTGTCAATATAATGATTACAATAATTTCCTAACAGCTTTGAAATTGCTGGCGAAAGTGTTGGTCCAAGTTAAAATAAATTGCTCTCTGTTAAACCACAATTAGGTACTTGGACTTATTCTTTCCAACGTTATCACATGCGAGAAATCATTCTCTCACAATTACGAATTGGATGGAAGCCCTACACATTGGTACCTCTTGGAGAGTTGCCAGTAGGCACTCTATGAGGAGTGCCAGGTCACTCTCAGTTGAGGTAATGTATTAATACACTGCCCTACATATCAAAGAGCATGCAGAATACACTCTTAACACCCAGATGCACTCACCTCCCTGCTCCTCTCAGCAAAAGCCTACTTTTGAAATAGATTAACTTTTACTTTTTTGACTGAAATTGATTTTTTACACCCCAAACTCGTTCACTCTGACCCCCCCAAACTCACTAACCCCACTAAGTTACCCATAGACACCACCTCAGTACTGTATAATCTGTGAGAGAGTAGCATTTATTTGTAATATAATAGTCACTCTACCTGTGTAGGATATGGTAAAGAGGTAAAAATAACTGGTAATGTGAGATGACAAAATCAGACCAAACCAAGAATTTGGAGCATCAAAGTAAGAAATCTAAGAGTCACTCTTAATAAAATATCACCAGGAAGTCATGTAAATGAAAGTGAGGACTGCATATGCTACATTGGATGAATATGGAATAGTTTTAAAAATATAGATGGAGATTTTTTTTTTCCCCCCCAACAAGTCGGCCATCTCCCACTGAGGCAGGGTGACCCAAAAAGAAAGAAAATCCCCAAAAAGAAAATACTTTCATCATCATTCAACACTTTCACCTCACTCACACATAATCACTGTTTTTGCAGAGGTGCTCAGAACACAACAGTTTAGAAGCATATATGTATAAAGATACACAACATATCCCTCCAAACTGCTAATATCCCAAAACCCCTCCTTTAGAGTGCAGGCATTGTACTTCCCATTTCCAGGACTCAAGTCCGGCTATATAAAAATAACCGGTTTCCCTGAATCCCTTCACTAAATATTACCCTGCTCACACTCCAACAGATCGTCAGGTCCCAAATACCATTCGTCTCCATTCACTCCTATCGAACACACTCCTGCACGCCTGCTGGAAGTCCAAGCCCCTCTCCCACAAAACCTCCCTTACCCCTTCCTTTCAACCTTTTCAAGGACAACCCCTACCCCGCCTTCCTTCTGCAGATTTAAATGCTCTCCATGTCATTCTACTTTGATCCATTCTCTCTAAATGACCGAACCACCTCAACAACCCCTCTTCAGCCCTCTGACTAATAATTTTATTAACCCCACACCTTCTCCTAATTTCCACAGTATATTAAGCCAATGTTAGAATACCATATGCAGCTGCTGTGTGGTGTCCATACCTGAAGATGTGGATAGGATAAGAGTCCAAAGAAGAGCTACAATATGAATTGTAAAACACCTGAAAATATTGAAAATGCTCCTGCAGGATGAAAGGAGGAAAGGAGATATGATAATAGGTTATAAAAGGATATGAAAGAATAGCTAAAGAAGATTTTTAGTACCTTCAACAAAACTAATAAGAGGCCACAAGTAAATTAAGACAAAATGGAGCCAAAGTGATATCAGGAATTTTTTCTTTATAGAGTGGTAGAATAATGGAATACTAAAATGAAAGAGAAGGTAGCAAGCGATACAACTCTTCGAATTTTTTATTATTTTTATGATAAATCTATTAATGAAAATAGCACACCACAAGCATAGCTAAACTTCTGTAGTTACAGATATGCAGTTACGAATGGACACTTCCAATTCACAGAATGTGACTCGTAACATCCCCACCCATCGTTTAGAGTGTAGGCACTGTACCTCACACCTCCAGAACCCCAAACATGCTCTCACATGCCTGCTGGATGTTTAAATAAACTCGTACAGATTTACATTACAGCCAACCCAGAAAAATCCTCTTAATCAACCTATCCTAGTCCATCCTTTCTAAATAAGCCTTTACAGCATTTCTTCTTGAATTCTACCTTTTGTATAATGACACCTTCTGATTTCTTTACTTGTAATTCTAAATACACGTATATGGTAATTGTAAATAGTAAATTTGTATGTAAATTTGTGCACCAGTTCAAGCATGTGAAGAATTAACGTATATTTTTGGCATACTTTGGAGTTCCTTCTAAAACAGGGATACTCATCTTCATGTGACAGTCTTGCACACTTACAAGTGATGTGGTGAGTTAGTGTTGGTGATCAGTAAAATTTTTATCATTTAAATCTCAATTTTCATTTTGGCAATGACAAGTTTATTTTAGCATGATACATGTTTATACAAAGGAGTGTAACAATTTGATGAACATGCCAAAAGTCACTTTATATGCAGAGCATTTCAGGCAAACTTAAGATTAATAAGGCAATAATGGTGCAGTAATTTTACATATGGTCATTATTCAATTTTCTTATTGTAACTCGCATATTCAGCTAGTTCATGCTATTTGGCTTCAGTGAGTTCAGTAGAGAATAATTACAGTTTTGATAGTTTATAAAAATACAGTATTACAATTTAGTAATTTAAAACAATGAAGTTGTTTTAATGCATAGTATTTTTTCTTTGATATTTGGACAAGGTGCATGCTTCCTACAGCTGTGGATCTAACATTGTCTGCAGGTTCCTTCATGTCTTCAGGGCCATCACAAAAGGTCTGCAAGAAAGACAAAATTGTATACTTTTATTACCTGTATACTAAACATTTTCACATATGGAAGAAAGAAGGGCTTCCACATGTCAGCTGCCCATTTTTTTTTTATTTCATTATTGTTGGTTAACTATACATAAACAGACAAAATTTGTAATAGCCTAACATAATCCAATTTAGAGTGAGTATGAAATTTTGTAGAGGCTTAGACTGGGCCAAAATGCTCTGCATAACCATGGGTTTTCAGCATGTGATCTGTTGTTCATCCATTTCTGTTTTAACATTGTATCACGTGGAAAGCAACTTTGGTGAAAATGGCTGTTATGTCAAAGCAAACAAGTGTGCTGAAGTACTGGTGTACACCAGATGCACAGTAGTGCACTACGTACCTTAAATTACTTGAGGTCATGTGTAATATGTACAGATTATGTTTGAAAGAAGACTACACAGATAACCCACATTTAAATGAATTTAGGATGCGTAATGAATTAGT